GGTGGATTATTTTTGAAGGTGGTGGAGGAATGTCAAGAGGTGCAGTTCAATTTCCTCATCTTTCTCAAGTTCAGTCTCCCCCTGAAGATGAGTTTTTGAGAAATAGGAATTTTTCATCAAAGGTAACATCAATAGAAACAAAGTTTTTCTGTGGGAGGTGATAACACTTATAACCTTTTTGGGTTGCTGAATAACCAACAAAGATGCATTGAGTGCTCTTGGATCTAATTTTCTTCGCTCATGGCTGTGGATATGAACATAGGCAGTGCATCAAAGATTTGGGTGCAATATGTATGATGTTCGAAACTCTGGGTAAAAAGAGGACAAGGTCTCCATTGGAAGATTTGAGGCCTAAAGCAGTTGAAGGTAAATCGGTTATGAGATAGGCTGCAATTAAAAGAGCTTCCCCCAATAGGATTGGGTGTATTGTAGTGAAATAGGAAGGCTCGAGTGGTGGCTTAAGAAGGTGACCATTTTTCCTCTCTGCAACCCATTTTTTTGTTTGTGGGGTTGTGAACACATGAGGATCATGGATGATCCCTTCATTCTGGAAGTATGAAGAAAAGGGTTTTTGGTTGAAATAATCTTTGGCATTACTCAGAGCGGAATCTCCGTTTTTTACCCCAAATTGATTTTGGATTATGGAATGAAAGACGGGAAGAATGGTGCTAACATAGTTTATTTTAAGGAGATTAGACCAAGAGACTCTAGTGCAAATCATCAATGAAGACCAAACCAGCGTGCCCCAGAGATATTGTGGATTTTTGAGGGTCCCCATATATCACTATGAATAAGGTAGAAAGGAGTGTCACATCTCTCACTTTTGTTTGGGAATGAAGTTCTTTTATGTTTTAGCTTAACTCACAAGTTTCACAATGAAAATTTTTAGTTTATATTTTCTGAAACAGTGGGATACATATGTCTTAGGATATCAAAAGACAGAATGTCCTAGTCTATAATGATGAAGCCAAATAGTGGAATTCCTATCTACTAGGGATAACATGGAGTAATTATTATAATTGGTTTGGTTCTTCCAGGGTAGTACATCCAGCTTTCTCCTTAGCAGTCAATCTTCTTCCCGCATCTCTAGTCCTGAATATAAGTAATAAGTAGGGTTAAATAAGGCTTGACAATTATGGTCATTGGTAAGTTTTTGTTTATTGTATTAGATTTGTGGATAATTGTGGTACGTGAGGACGTTTTTTCAGGGTGAGTAAGGGAGATATATGATGTCTCCTTGACCATATCGTGGAAGAGAACCATCAGCAGTGATAATTTTTCTTATTGTTTTGGGCAAGGAGTGTAATTTATGAGGTGGGTAGATGAGTGGGTCATGTGATCTGGGCTCCTGAATCAATTATCCATAATTCCTTTAGATGATTTCTAGAAGCATCTTTAAACTGAAGAAATTGGAGTCTTACCTGAGAGTGCAAGTGAAGAGAAGATTGGTTTTTCAAGAGATACCAGGAGTTGTTTTAATTTGTCAATATCTTCTTTGTTGAATTCTCCAGATTTGGACCGTGCTTCTGGCTTACTTGTAGTGTTGTTGCATGTGATGTGCTCCTTGGTTCACCCTTTTGATTCCACTCCTTGCGGGGTTTACCATGTATTTTCCAGCACGTTTCCTTTTGTGTCTTGACTTTTTGCAATAGCTGCACACAAAGTGAGTCCTTGTCTTTGAACTTTGAAGATCTTTTCCCTTCTCCTTTCCATGACGATTCTTGTTCATCACCATTGCTGAGCTTTCAACTGTCTTTCGGTTCTAACATTACTCCTCGTCGACTTTCTTCTGCGCGAATGAGAGAAATGGTTTCGTTGAGTGATGGCGTCTCTTCCTTGCCGAGGATCTGAACTCTACTTGGTCAAATTCTGCCATTAAGTCCTGCAAGAAAATCATAAACTCTATCTTTTCAATAAAGTTCTTTAGGATCGCAGCATCCTCCGGACATCTGGTTTCAATGCACCTATAGTGATCAAGTTCTTGCCACATATTTTGTAGAATGGGTGGCATATTCCATCACTGTCTTACTCCCCTGCTCTCGTGCTTCCAACTTTGACTTTAACTTCAAAGATTTGGGCCGCGTCACGAGCTTTGGAGTAGGTTTGTCTGGCAGCATCCCATATCTTTTGCCGTTGAAGGAACATAAATGTGTCACTAATTTCTGGAGTCATGGAATTCCACATCCATGACATAATCATGGAGTCTGCTTCATCCCATGCCCCAAATTTGGAATCTCCTTCTTTCGGTCCTCCTCCAAGGAGATGATGTATTTTACCTTTCCCCTTCAAGTAGGTCTTCACAAATTGAGACCACTTCAGGTAGTTCTTCCCATTTAGACGATAGGAAGGTTGCATGCTTTGAAGGTCACCTCGTCCTTGGTGCACCATTGACTCCTCATTTTGCTCAACGCTTTGGGAGGAATTAATTTCTGACATTGGAAAGCAATTAAGGCTTCCTAAAAATTTCCTTTGTAATAAAGGTCAAAGGTTTTTTTTTTTTTCTTTTTCTTTCCTTTTTTTTTCTTGGTTTACTAAACCAAACCGGCCGAGCCTAAACAGCTCAGATCGGGACTAGGCAGGAGGGTCGGGCTCCAGAAGAAGAAGCCGATCGCTCCTTTCGCACGCAGGAGCCGCTCGAGGAGGCCTCTCTACCGGTCGGATCGGGACGCCAGGGACGATCGGGACCCTTCAACGATCGAGACGCCTTCGTCGATCGGAATGCCTGGGACGCCTTCGACGATCGGGACTTCCTGTCGGATCGGATGCTTGCTGCTGTCGGATCGGTCGTCTTCCCTAAAATCGCACGCAGGGGCGAGTTGAGCAGGGCGATCGGAAAGGATCGGTGAGTGGTCGAATGACTCTTCTTCGGCTCCTTTGGCTCGTATGTGGCTGTTCGACTAGGCTCCTTCGACAATCCTTTTGGATCGGAAGTTCCGATCGGAAGCTCCGATCAATTCGCACGTTCCGTCCGGATCTGAGTCGGCCGTTCCCTCCGATTGATTCGCCCGTTCCGTCCGGGTCTGCAGCTTCCGATCAAGTCTCGGTTGCCCGAACTTCTACTCCTCTCTTTCTCCTCCGACGATCTAGGATCGTGGCTCTGATACCATGTTAAGAACGAGGATTTGAGAGGGAAAAGCTTAAATTTTATTAAGCAATCTACTCCCTATTTATAGATCTATACAAGGTATATCAATAAGGAAACAAATAACTCTTATAATAATATGAATACAATTATTCCTAAATCAATGGGAGGAATTAATGCAATCCTTGTAGTCCTCCCACGGATTACTGTTCACAGCCGTGGATGTCTTCGGGATCGTAAGGTTGAGATTTAACAAAATCGAACTAGTGGAAGTGTGATAATTACCCCCAAAAAGGTCTCGATTAAGGTGTATTCATTTGGTAATTATACAATCGCCTTGAAATTCGTGTATTTCACCTTGTTTAACATGTCGAATTCATTGAATATAGAAGTTAGATGAATTTGTAGTGCATTTAAGGTATTATCGATGTCCAGTCGCAACAACGTCCGTTTTGGATTGATGCCTAATTTTCTTAAAATACGTGTTGTCATTTTAAAACTGCATCGATTTGCGCACATAATCTCATTCAAACAAATTGATATTGTATTTAGAGTGTAAAGGCGTTCCAGATGCACTGGCGAAATTTGTTCGTCAATCAGACGTCATTTGGAAGACGTTGAGTCCAATTTTTTCCGATATGCGTGTCTTGTCTTAATTTGTATTGACCCCTTCGCATGCCCCTCAATTTGTTAAGTTGAATGCTATCATTAAGTATTCTCAGATATTTGGGATGTTCCAATCATAATGACGTTGTCCATTTTGCGATTGAACTTCGTTTGGCCAACACTAAGGCATCTTTCATCGATATGTGTACTTTATCTCAAAATTCGTGCCACCAATTCGGATGATTCAAATTGAACATGAGAAATATAATTTTTGAGTATTTACAATGTTCTGAGCACAGTGATGAAGTCTGTTTCGCCATCAGACTACATTTGGGCAACCTCGAGGCCAATTTTACTCGATATGTGTGCTCTCGCCATTAGATACATGTCGCCACCTCAATTGGCCCCAATTGATCAAATAAAATGTATATTCTAAATGTTGATGACATTCTGGACACAACGACGATGTCTATTCCTCGATCTTACTTCATTTGATCAGCATCGTGCTTTAATTTCAGGTGTCGGTTTTCCCTTTTGACCAATCTCATCCGATTCAACTGCGAGGATCTAGTGATGATGTCAAACCACTGGAGTTAAAAAGGGTGAGACAAGGAGAAGAAGGGATCAAGGATGTGCTGATCAAATGGAAGCACCTACCCGACTATGATGCCACTTGGGAACTATACGAAAGGGTGAAGCATCAGTTTCCATCCTTCCACCTTGAGGACAAGCTGGGTCTTTGGGAGGGAGATATTATTGGACCGGTCCGGTCCTATTCAGTATATCGAAGGCGGAATAGGGGTTCAGCCCTCGTGGTCCCCCTCACCCGGTAGACTTTTCAAATTAAGATTTTAATGCGTTTTGAGAGGGAAATTTCAATGGGAGCGCTGTTTTGGAATTTCCTTTTGGATTGTATGCTTTAGGGGGAGAAATTTGGGAGGGTTAGGGCATTGATTGTTTTGCTGAGGTTTGACTTATCTTAGGGTTTTTGGGCTCTAGTCGACGACTACAAATTTGGGAGGTTTCGGGCATTGATTGTATAGTTGGATCTTTGGTTTTAAAGTCTTGGCTACACCTTAGAGTAGTCTGTTGAACCATTTGGCCTAGGTCAAAGGGGGGTAGCTTTAGATGAAGCTTGTTCATATAGAGTTTTGGCTTATTTTTTTATTTATCATTAAAGTTAAAACATCTCTACAATTCTGATTGAATGTTATATTTGTGGTGGATAAATACTGGTTTTGCTCCTTTTGTTTTAGTGGTGGTTATGTCCTCATTTTAGTCAATTTTTCCTAAGTAAAATACTATAGTGCAGGCAATAGAAGTTGTTGATTTGGATCAACAGACCAAAATGGTGCTAGAACTTGATGGCCATGTCATGCGTTGTGTGCGTGATCAAAATGGGAACCATGTTATTCAAAAATGTATCGAATGTATTCCACAAGATGCAATTCTGTTTATCATTTCAACCTTTTATGATCAAGTAATTACATTATCCACCCATCCAAATGGTTGCCGTGTCATACAGGTCTTTTCTAAACTTGTAACTCTGCCTAACTTGGTTAATATCATGTTTTCATTACCATTACGTTTTACAGAGAATATTGGAGTACTGTGATGATCCTAAAACCCAACAGATCATGATGGATGAGATTCTACAGTGTGTCTGCTTACTGGCACAAGATCAGTATGGAAATTATGTGGTTCAGGTTGGCTTTATTTTTTGAAACTCAAGCCTAACCCTCCAGCAACACACACAAAGAACACTAACTTTTATAACCGTGTAGCTGCTTTACAACCAAAAACTTAGCTTGGGCTTGACTCTTTGCATGCTAAAATTTGGCAGAAGAATGTCGAGCACTTTGATATCATCATCCTGTCTTTGACCTCATAGAAAATGATTTTTCTTAGGCTTCGTTTGGGACGTCTTTCTTTTTTCTTCTTAAAGCAGCTTCCTAGTACAAAAATTTTAACATTTATACTAAGAAGCTGCTTTATGAAGCAATAAGAAAGCTGTCCCAAACGAAGCCTTAGTCACATATTGCTTCATGAGTTCTGCCTGAACTCCAAACACATGAACTGTTAAACTCCTTGGCTGATGAAATTTTTATTGTAACAGCATGTGCTGGAACATGGGAAGCCACATGAACGATCTGCCATCATAGAGAAGCTAACTGGACAAATTGTCCACATGAGTCAACAGAAGTTTGCTTCAAACGTGGTTGAAAAGTGTTTAACCTTTGCCGGTCCTGAAGAACGGCAACTTTTGGTCAACGAGATGCTAGGTGCTACAGAAGACAACGAGCCTCTTCAGGTATGTTCCCCGCACAATGAGAAGAATGTATCACTTTTGTTCAGCTGATGCATCTTCACCCTCTATGAATAAAAGGATCACATCCTTTTAACTGACCTCTCTGTCTAGAAATTGATTCAAAACATCCAGCATAAATGATGAGTTAATGGCCGTCTATAAGAAATAATGCTTAGAAAATATTTGTACGTTCTGCAAGATAGCCAAAATCACATCTAAAGCAGGTAGTCGAACTAGACCAGAGGAATATATCTGTACGTTCCGCAAATAAGAGTTTGACATCAGAAAAAGAGAGCCTTTATTTCATTTTCTAATTGAACAAAAGACAATAAAATTTTGATTGATCAGACTTATATCTTCATTTATGAAGGAATCCATTGTGTTCAAATAGTCATCCCAACGTAAGATCCACTAGTATTTTTTGTGGCATTTAGGTGTTTATTTTTAAGACGCAATTTTTATTTTATTTATTAACATATTTTATAGTCTTGGGCTTTGGTGTTATTTATTTTTAGTAAACCTATGGCTATTTAACAAAAGTGAAATACTATACTAAGAAAAAATTTCATAAAATCTCATGCCAGATAAGTACTGGTATGTTTTGCTTGTTTACCCATATGCTAGGCTCTGAATTTATTTGTTTGCATGTTGTCGCCAGGCAATGATGAAAGATCAGTTTGCAAACTACGTTGTACAAAAAGTTTTGGAGACTTGTGATGATGATCAGCAACGTGAGCTGATCCTTTCACGAGTAAAGGTTCATCTGAATTCACTGAAAAAATACACATATGGGAAGCATATAGTTGCGCGTGTAGAGAAGCTTGTTGCAGCTGGAGGTATGTTATGCGCTCCTTTTTTTTAAATTTGTTCTTCATTAAATACCAATGCCTTATATGTGTTTGCTAGTAGGTCTATCAGTTTCTGTTAATCCAGAGTTGTATCTGACATAAAATAACTTTCTAATTGGATCTCTCTAGTTCATTTCCATGACTCATATTGGTCAAGCTATTGAATTAGATTTTGAGTTAACCCATAAGCGCTGATCTCCCATGTTGCAGAGAAAGTGAATATGTTACTGGAGACTATCATAGGACATAGAATGTAGAAAGAGATAGCAATATATAATGGTCTTGATAATAGTAATCCTTTTAAAACTTAACACAGTTAATTTTGATCTTATCAAAAAATTAACCCAAAGATCTGTGAAATGATAATTCATTTATGTACATGCTTATGATTAATCTTGTCAATTTTGACCCACAATTCTAATAGCTCTCATAAATTTTGCATTTGCAGAGAGGAGACTTGGAGTTTCAGTTATGTAGTTCTTATAGAAGATTTAGGAAGAAAGTTGTACAGCTAACAGAGGTTAGTATGAGGTCCCTCTTTCATTCACCTTATTAGGATGGTGGAATTTGATTGAAAATTAATTAGTTTGTTGTAAATTTCTTTAGTTGAGGCTATTAGAGTAGATCCTCAAGATGTTGAGGCTCAAGCTATGAGCATAACTGATGCCTAAATATTTACTTTATTTTATGTTGTAAAGAATAGTTGAAGGAAGCAATAGACATGTTTCAGGCTTCGTTTTGGACGGCTTTTCTGCTGCTTCTTAAAGTTATTTTTTACTAAAATAATTAAAATTTATATGCTAAAAAAATTGATTTAAGAAGCATGAAGAAAGTCATCCCAAAAAAAGCTTCAGAGTGACTGTAAAAAGATCGAAAGGATGGTAGCCATTAGTGTTTAGGCGAGGGGCTGGATTTTTCTTTTTTAGCTCTAATATATATTTATTATATTGACAGTTTTCTTATTCAGTTCAGTTGGTTGTAAGCTCCTGCTTGGGAAATGTTCTGAATTTGCTGCTGCTTTTATCATGACTGCTGTGCTGAAAAGTATCTTCAGAATTTTTAAACTACTTAATGTTTAAATTATTAAATTTCAATATATTTGAAGCATATTATATTAATAAATTTTAAATGAACTGACTGACAATCTAACAAGTCAAGTCGAGTTCAGCTCAAATTGAACTCGGTAGCTCATATAATGTGGCCCATGAGCCATTTATTGAATCCAATCCGAATTGACTTGACTCATTAGTTGAACTTGGCTCAGTTACATACCTAGTTGCAAATATATGATAGATAAAGTAAAAGATTTTTGTTTTAATTATTTAGGTATGTAGCATGAGGTAAAATATATGCATAGTATATTTTCATCACCATAATGAAAGCTTCTTATGAGTTCTGAGTTGAGCAAGAAAAAAGCTTTTTAACATAATTCTTTGGATTGTTTTGTTTGGTTTCTAATCTTTTCTAATGTAATTTTAATTTAATAAAATATATTTTACGAGCCGCACTTTGTTCCTCAACATCTGAGTAATAGTTCATATGGCAAATTTTCTTTTTGAAATATCTGATTTTTTTTGGACATTTAGATCAATTAAGATAAATTTACACGCACATCATATATGTAAGGCTCGAACTTAAAATCTTTTATTTGGTAGTTAAAGATATCAATCAATAGGCTAAAGTGAGCTGCTTTTGAAATATCTGATCATTAACCCAATTTATGTTTAATTGTTTAAAGATAGAGTAGGAAAAAAAAAAAAAGGTTTAGATCGTATTTGGAACATATTTTTTATTATTTTATTTTTTAAATTGCAATTATTTTTTTTACTATTTTTAATAAATTTGTCTTAAAAATTTACTTTTTATAATATGTTTAAAAAAATATTACCTTAACAATTATTTTACAAACACTTTTATAAAAAATTATAATCATCACAAACAAGATCCTAAATGAATAGAAAATGACATAAGCATGTCAGCAGTCATTCATCCAACTAACTTAAAATTTTATTTTGAACACTAATTTAAATACTTAAGTATTTTTCATTGAAATAGAATTAGCGCCTAAATCTTCATAATTTATAAAACAATCAATCATCCTACTATTTAATTTTTAAAATCTCTTCTTAATATTAAAATTCACAATACAAATTCGATTCATATTTTTTTATTAAATTTCAACAGTTTGATCATATAAGTGCAAATACACAGAATTTGTTAGTTAAAAAAATAACCTCAATATTAATGTTATAAATATAAAGATTTCAATATTATTTGTGTAAATATTCTTAAATATATATTAATTAAAAGGAGCAGGAGTGTGCGCTATGAGCTTGTGCAAAGAAAAAATAGGCTAATTTCTCCCAAAAGAGGAGAACGAGATACAGAGCAGCTGAACTGCAAACAAAAATCTGCAATTTTCCTGAGATATTTTCCACTCTCTTTCTAACAAAGCTTCAACCTGACGTTCCCTGTACACGTTTTTGGCAGTTCAAAGTTTCGAACAATATCTTCTGAAATGCGAAAAAATTGTTGTCGAAATCTCTAATCATCATCATCTTCTTCAACCTTCTGACCAAATCCTCTTGGTCCAGCTCTTGCCCTGACCTTCTTCTTCTTCTTCCCCTCCTTCTTCTTCTTCTCAGCCTCCACCTTCTCAAACTTTTCCCTCTCTCTTTTTTGCAGAAAGTCTTGCACGGCTAAATAGATCAACTGCTCAAACAGCAAGAACCTTCAAATTCTTAATACAGACCGAGTAACGAATTGAAAGAGACCGAATGTGAAAGAAATTGCAACTTATAATTGTTACTACTTGATACATTTGGTTGATAAAAATTAGAATTTTTAGAGAAATAAGTAGTTAACTTGTCTTTTATATATTTTTTATTTTCATCTCCATGTTAATTTATTGTTTATTGTTAGTGTTATCATACATTCCTTCATTACATTATTTCATATCTATAAATATGGTACAAAATAGCTAATATAAGTAACTGATTTTTCCTCCAAACTATCTCCTTCTATTATGTCCTCTAACCCTAATGCCTATATCATTCTCAATCCTTTTGATAGATCTCAAGCTCTCATCACCATTAACACCAACACATAAATCAAACTTATTACCTCCAATAACTCATCATGGCGATTTCAATTTCATACTACACTCATTGTATATGATCTTATGGAATTTAATGATGGATCTTACCATTGTCAAGCACAAATCCTATACACTAATGATGGCCATACACCAAATCCTACCTACTCGTTATAGATCCACCAAGACAAACCTATTCTTAGCGTAATTGCTAGCTCGACCTTCTTAAATCTAATTCATTTTATCGTTTCATCCCAAGTATCGCAGGAGCCTTGGAATGCTCTTAACAATATCTATGCCAAACCATCTACATGGGCATCTTACTCAATTAAAAGAAGACTTTTATCTTCTCAGCAAGGGAACAAAAGTAATTGCCCAGTATACAGTGTGTCAAAATTGTTTCTGATGGATTCACCATACTTGGTCACACCCAATTGATGAAGATGATCTCACAAAAAATTATAAAAGGCCTTGATGATAAAACAATAATCTTTGCTCAGCTATTCATTTATGTGAGAGCCTTATCAAATTTAAATAACTCCATGAAAAAAACTTATAAACTTGGAGGCCTACCTCAAAGTTGAAGTACGAAAGAAAGCCACCATACTTCACATACTTGCTATTGCCAACTGAACTAAAAATTTCATCTCCTTGAAATCTCTACCAACAACAACAACAACATCAAGCCTTTGTCCCACTACGTGGGGTCGGCTACATGAATCTTTTTTCGCCATTGTGTCATGTTAAAAGTCAAATTCTCATTTAAATCTATTAAAGAAAGATCATTTCTAATATTTTCTAACCAAGTCTTTTTAGGCCTACCTTTACCTTTCTTAACATAAGTCAAATCTAATACATCAACTTTCCTAACCGGGTCATCGGAAGACCTCCGTTTAATGTGGTCAAACCATCTAAGGTGACTCTCTCTAATCTTATTTTCCACTGGAGCTACTCCAACCTTTTCACGTATATGCTCATTTCGTATCATATCTCTAAGGGTAAACCTACTCATCCACCTAAGCATCCTCATCTCTGCAACCTTAACTTAGTATTATGCTTCTCTTCCTTGAACTCTCTTCCCAATTACAAAAAAAAAAATCCTCCCTCCATCCTTAAAAGAAACCAACACCCTCATCAAAATTGCAACCATCAAGGCCTCCACAGATCTGTGGCATTATTGTCTTGGTTATCCATCTCTTAAAATACTATGGCACTTAGCCTATCATTATGATATATTATTTTTTGAACCAAATATATCCTAGCTTGTTTGTAATTCATATTATTGCAATAAAACTCACAAGTTTCCATTTATCTCATCCTCTCTTACTAGCTTCTACATTAAACTTTTATTTATTATTGGTGTTAATACAGCTTCTTTTCTTACGCTATTCTATATTTATAAGTATTGAACAAAAAGATTAATATAAGTTAATAATTTCTCCTCAATACTACCTTCTTCTACATATAGAACTTGAACTGAAATTAATTTTTGTTTGCCTGTTTGGTTGAGAAAAATTCAGTGAAAATAAATTTTCTTCTTCGTTTGATTGATAAAATATTGATTTATAAAATTTAAAGAGAGGACAAATGAGCAGCTACAGTGATTTCATTCTTTTTTCTTCATATTTTTTATTCAAAGATTGTCATTAAGAAAAATATATTTGTAACATTTTATTTAGTAAATTTAATTAATATGTACTCAAATTTCCTCATGTTCATTGAAATCAAACACTTCGAAGCATTTTACTTCAAAATTTCAGGTTTGTATTTAGTTTCGATATAATTACTCTTTTTATACCTACAATCACATCTCAATCCTTACAAAGCTTTACATGAATCGGATAACTTCTATTCACAAAAATAAAAATTCAAATTTTCATCAACCAAACAAAAAAAAAATTGCCCATTTTCTTTTTAAACAGGCGGATCCAATTTCAATGCAAATTTTCTAACATTTCGATTTCCAATTCCATTATTTGAAAGTTCAAAAGATTACCCCGATTGTGAGAAGGGAGAGGCCGATGAAAGCTGTAAATAGAAGGGCAGAGACGACGCTGTAACCCGATCCACCATCAGCCACAGGAATTATCTCTTGAACGCCTTCAGTAACGCCGGAATCGATTCCGGAAACTCTCCGGAGAGGCTGCGGCCGCCTGCTCAAAATTTCTTGAAGCTTCGGTTTCCATTGGCGAATAGGTCGAGAAGCAGAAAAAGAATATAATGAAAGAGAATAAATTGAGGGCCTTGAACAATGAAAGAAGACGCTTCTCACCGGAGAGAGGAGTGAGAAAGAGGCTGAGAGCGGAGGAGGAGAGAGGGCGGCTATCGCCATTTTTTGAGAGAGATAATGGCCAGCCACTTGGCTTCAGATATGGAAATCCTGGTTTATCATCAGAGATCGAGGGTTTGGATTTGTTTTAATAATGGACGGCTGTGATCTCATATGTATCGGTTGTTTTCTTTTTCTATGATGCGAGCTCAACTGCTCAATACAAAGGAAAGGTAAAGAACTTTTTTTTTTCTGAATTGTGAATTTTGAAAATATTCTTTAGAAATTATTGGGTATTAAGAAATTTTTATTTTAAATACTTTTAATCCTTTCATCAACTTATATAAATTTTAATTATAAAAAATATTTATATAGTTATACAAATAAAAAAAATCTTCTCAATTTTGGGCATATGATAGACCATTCTTAAAGAGGGGATAAATCAATCTTAAACCACATTACAAGTAAATCTATAACAAATATATATGCAAGAAATATGTAAAATCAAAATAAGCCACAAAAGAAAATGAACAAGAGCATTTATGTTCATTTGTACAAGGGCTTATATTTTTTATTTAACTTGCTTTAATTATTCACAAATCGCTAACATTTTTTAAATCTAGATCAATCTTTAAAAGCATAACTAAATTTTATCATCTAAAAATATAAGAAACGAAATCATTTGATTATGTCTTAAAGAAATAGAGAGAAGAAGAAAAATCCTAAATAAATTGAACATTTTGATAGTTAAATTATGTAAGAAAAAGCTTCTAATCCTTCTCTTCCCATCCCTCTGGCTCTCACTAAAAATAACATAGAAAAATTGAGCAACCAAAAGTTCAAAGTCGTATTTTCTCCACTCAACTGCTCTCTTATGAGTCTTATTCTTGGCCACCCCCAGCTCTCTCTCTCGCTCTCTCGCCCTCGCTCTTGTATGTTGGCGATTTCTTTGATCCCACCAGGTGGACTAATAAAGGGAAAACAAGGCTACAAATATGATTACATAAGAATAAGACTTGGTTAGCTAAAAAATAACATGAATTAATAAAACTAATTAATTCAAATGATTTAAACTAATTATCAATTAATACTTGATTTAAATTTAATTAACAAATTAACATGTCGACTCTTCAAATCATTGGTAAAACAATTTTGCCCTTTATAATAGGGATAATTTCAATTCATCTAATATAATTTGGCCCGATAGTGAAGAATGAGGACAAGTAGCCATTCAACATGTAGTTCAGTTGTTGGGGTGCTTTGACTCTTTAATTGTGCCATATAATTGAGTGCAGATATTAATGCGTAATGTATACATAATTAAATTAACTCAAAAGTAAAAAAAAAAAAAAAAATTGGGCTCATTTGACATGATTAAAAATTGATTAAATAAAAAAATATTCGATCTTCTAGGTAAACTCTAAATTAATTATTATTTTGTATGTTCTAATATATTTCTTGATTTTGGCTACTTAAATTGAGTAGAATCAAAAGCCATGCATAAGGCTATAATTGAGTTGAGCTGAGCATACCATAGATTGGTCTTGGTAGTCATATGACAAGTTATCATGTTTTTCTTGAGCTCGATCAAACCTTCCATATATATGATTATATTTTTCTCTTTTTTATTTTTTATGATTCAACTTGTTTTAGCTTCACTTCTCTAAATATATTGAATGAGTACTTCAATTTTAAATATTAATAAATAATTTTATAAGTCTAAATAAATAAATTATTTGACTGGCAAATAGGTTTATTTTTAAATTTAAATAAATGGATTTAATTTTGTTTCGATTATAATTTTTTGAATGATAAAAAATAATTATAAAATATATATGACTTAATTTTATGATTTTACAGAAATAATTTTCTCTATAAATTAATATGTCACCAATTAAAATGTCATGAGTTTTATTTTTTAATTATCCAAATATAATTATTAGTTCAAATGAGTATTAATTAAGTTGATTCTTAGTGATACTTAAAGTAAAAGAAAAAAATTAGTGCGCTGATTCTACCCGTTTGATGTCATCGGACGGTTGATTTCATAATCCAATTTTCGAGAGTTTTCGAGAAAGTCCGATTTAGCCAATCCATTTCTAGGAAACTCCATCTTATTCGAAGAAGTCTCAGCGGTCGACCAGAAATCGAACGTATATAAGGGACTCGAGAGGTGTGAAGTGCTGAAGGGGCGATTTGATTGTTCTGTTGATTTTGATTTGGAATCCGTATTTTCTCGGCGGGAAGACAGAAAGAGAGAGAGATGGCCGGCGACGGTGTGAAGTGGGAGGGGTTGCTCAGATGGAGCCTCTCACAAGCCGACGGAACTGAACCGAAGAGGGTTCTCAGGTATATTATTGTTTCTTTCTATATTTTTTTAACCTAGGTCAATTTCAATCTTAGGGGTTTTCATTATTGTTGGTTTTGGTTACTTGGGGGGTTCAGCGATGAGGAACGGAGGTGGTTCATGGAAGCCATGACGGCTAACTCGGTGGATGTTATCAAGAGAATGAAGGAGATCACGGAAGTGATGAAGACTCCGCAGGATGTTTTGGAGGCTCATGGCGTCACCACTGCAGATATTGAAGGTAATTGAATCTAATGGATGCGATTGTTTAACGTTTCTTTTGATTTTTAGAATATTTTGAAGTTTAATAGCTGTTGTGGTAATTCATTAGGATTTGAAAAAAAAAAAAAAGGGCGAGGATGCTGGATTCTTTTGGGTATTTTTGTGGGTCATGGATTCATTTAGATGCTGGCATGAACAACGGCACTTGTTCTTTGTGAGCCAGAAGATTCATGGAAAGTAATGTGGGTTGCGTAATTTGCTTAATTTTGATAAAGGATTTGTGGGAAGACCTATTATTATTATTTTCTAGATTTCATGTTTCAAGTATGAGTGACGTGGAATAGAGGATGTAAGAGTTCTTTTTTTTTTGGTGTTGACAGTTTTCCGTGTTAGAATAGTTGCACAAGTATCGGTGATGTGATATTCATGACTATCAAATCTTTTTAGAAGAGAGAAGAGAAGCATTTTACTCGTCCTTTTTTTTTGGACTTTTGAGTCAATTAAGTAAAACTCAAACATACATCATTAAAACACACATCATATATGCAAGCTTGGAACCCAAAATCTCTTAGTTGTTTGCCAAAATTCTAAACCAACAAATCAAGGTGAGCTGCGTAATAGTCATTTTATGCATGTACCTGCTGGAGACTGACTGAAGTTTTATGTTTTTTTTTTCAAGTATGTGAGTTTATGTTATCAATTGGCGACTGTTTGAGCTTAATTATTCTGATTTTAGTCGAGTCCTTAACTTGGCTTCATTGTTTGAGAATATAACTACATTTTAACCATCCATTTGATAGCATGAACAAATTGATATGTCACCCTTTCTGTATTGCAAGAGCATGGAAATTTCACTGCTAGTTGTTAAGTTCTGGTGGGAACAAAGGTCTAACTATTGTTTAATTTGACTAGCTTCTTAGTGAACTTATTTGTTATCTGGCTTGATAGTGCTGTTAAGATGTTGATAAAATTTCAAGCAAAATTAAATATAGATGAGAGAACAAAAAATTTAAAGATCTCAAAATAAGAAATATAAGTTTACTTGGTTTGGTAAGATTTTTTAACATTTACAACCGTACATAAATCAAAATTCCACTATGTTTTAAAAGAGATGCTTAAAAAGATTATAATAAGGACAAAGATATAACTTTGTCTGTGTTAATAGCTAAGAAAGAATACAATTACCTGCTGTGAAGGTGAGGATTGGACATGGACAGTAAGATGATATTATTCTCCACATCTCATCTCTTCTTTGTTGTGAGTGCTTCATCCTCTTTTCCTTTCTCTTTTCTATTTTTCTTTTTTCTTTTTAAAATTTGGTTGTGATTGTGCGATTCTTCAACTTAATTCAATTATCCCCAATTATCCCCTTATATAGTATTTAGATTGTAGGTTACAAACTTGAATTTTATGATGTTTGAGTTTGGTGGTTACTATCTTGAAAATTCAAGTGTGAATGAAGTAATCTTGCGTTATGTTAGCCATCATTTTGAAAAATTTAGTGTGAAGTTGGTAGCCATCAATTTCAAAAAATCAAAACAAAGCCTCATTTAAGGTAGTTAATGAAATTTTGATTTTACACTTAAAAGAGCTTTGTAAAATAGTCATCTTATTTTTGTATTATAAAAAAATGTCTCATGCGGTCTCCAGTAGATTCCCCTACTCAATGTAGCACCTAATGTAGTAGCTATTTTGGTTGTACAATGAAAAATCTCTGTTCTTGAGAAGTTTAAAAAGTTTTTAGAAAAAAATAATAAAGAGATAATGTCAAGAGGTTTAAGATTAATGGAAAATATTGAGTACATGATTTGTTGATATTTAGTTCATGTCAATATGATAGTTGTGAACAAATTATTTGTTTGTGAAATAATGCCTAGTGTGGTAGGTTTGAGGTTCTCAATGTGTTATGTAAAAGCATGGACATTTTCTAAAATATGTAGTTAAAATGGAAAATGGCCTCGCCATCGCAATTCTAATGCAGAGTGGTAGAAGGAATGTTTAAACTTCTAATAAGATTTTCTATGGTTTATGGATCTTGAATTCTTGATATCTGGTGGTGATGAATTCACTAACAATTTTAAGTGTGGAGAAAAGGGTGCAAGCTGGATGGGTGAAGAACTAGACAGGATATATTGTGAAATATTTATAGTAGAGAAAGCATTTGAGTACAACTACAACAACATCAAGCCTTTATCTCACTATGTGGGGCCGGCTACATGAATCTTTTATCTCTATTGTGTTATGTTAAGAGTCAAATTCTCATTTAAATCTAATAAAGAAAGATCATTTCTAATATTTTCTAGCCAAGCCTTTTTAGGTCTATCCCTACCTTTCTTAACATAAGCCAAATCCAATACATCTACTTTTCTAACCGGGTCATCGGAATGCCGTTGTTTTATGTGACCAACCCATCTAAGGCGACTCTCTCTAATCTTATCTTCCACATGAGCTACTCCAACCTTTTCACATATATATGCTCATTTCGTATCATGTCTCTAAGAGTAAAGCCACTCATCAACCTGAGCATCTTCATCTCTGCAACACTTAATCTTATGCTTCTCTTTAATGGCCTACATTCTGCACCATAGAGAAAGCATTTGAGTGATAAATGATAATATTATATTTGGTAGAGCTGTGTGATCCTATATGATAAATTGAGGCTACTCTGCTAAATGTGGTTCTATTTACATGTTTAGGTTTTGATTTCATATATGAACACTAATATATTGGCAGTAAAATATTGAAATATTCCTTGTTATGATAAAAGAAAGAATGGATTGTACTTCGTTGTAATATGTTAGATGGTTACACATCAAAGGAATAGCGAACGGGGAGATTATTAAATGTGGACTACATACCTAGCTCTTAATGGTACGCCTTTCATAAATTAGTAAAACCTAAACATATTCAGGTCGTGCAAAATGCACGTTCCAAATTGGTTGTAGTTTAAATCTTTTAATTTCTGTAATCCTTGTAAAGTCATTTGATTCCTGGTCTTACTTTTTGTTTATTCTTTTTTAGTTGTTTTATGTTTTTATGCGTTCAGTAGAATGCTTACGGTTAGTGAGATTGGCAGGGTAACAATAATTGTAGCTAATGTTTTTACTATATTCATTTGTAAATGTTTATTGTTGAGGTCTAGCTTGATATCATGTTTGCTCTAATTTTTGTTGGTGCTTTCTTTTGTCCATGGAAGATGTTATCATTGCTTGAGATTAGCCTTGCATAGATTTCTGCCAAGGGGAATATAAGCGATGAATTTCGTTGTTGAACTATTGTTTTTAAATGTATTAATCTCATTCCACATGCATGATCTACTTTCTAGTTATTCTTTTATTTCTGCCTTCAAGATTTGGTTTTGTTTTTAAATGTGTTATCGCATTCCAAGTTCATGATGTAGTTTCTAATTCCCTTATTTCTGCCGTCAGTTGTCATTTTTATGTTATTTCAAGTAAATAATCACTAGGATTGAAACGTTTTTCAGGCATGCTTGAAGAACTGCAAGAACATGTGGAGTCCATTGATATGGCCAATGGTAAGCCTATATAAACATTTCGCTTTGTTTTACATACGTTGACTTTTTTGTTAAATTTTATTTTGTCTAATTTATTTGCTGGCATGTTCTAGAAAGTTCACTTTTCGTATTATTATCTTATGGCTTGTTATCGAAGCATAAGTATTTATTGTTAGCTAATATTTTCCCAATGCCTTGATATGCCAAGTTTATTTTGAAGTTTTTTTTTTTTTTTTTAATGAGATATCTGTAGCTAGTAGGGATGTTTGGATCATTTCTTGTGCCAAGCTATGCCCTGCAAAAAACCATTTTATTATTTTTTATAGCTTTTATGTTGTTTCTTACCACACTTTTGGAGTTTGGAGAGTAGATATGTGGATTTCAAAGGTAGATTGAGATGTGCGGTGTCCTAGAGCTTTATATTAGCATCCACCTTCTAAAGTCTTTTATTTTGTTCTGATGTGATGTAGAAAACAGTCTCGTTTAGGATGTTGAACTATGCTATTGAGGGTTTAGAAATTTTTTAGCTTTGAAAAGAGGATGGAGAGTATAGATGATTAATTTGACAAAGATTTAATAGTTTTGTTGCTGAAGCTAACTTGGCAGACCTTTCCTATCAATGGAAGTAGGCCTTATGCCTTATTGTTTAAGGAGCCAAACTAATTGATGGGTTTTCTTAAGTATTTTGAGTAAATCGCGGTGATAAAATGCTATAGTATGTGCCCTCTCCAGACTCCAAATGAGGGCCAGAGTTTGTCTTGGAGAACAGTATGGATGACTATGATTTAAATGCATAACTTTGCGACTACGCTTGAGGGTGATGCCGAGGATTATGCTTTGGGCTCGTGAGCTAAGCTGGTTGAGTTGATATCTATACACAACTTTAAACAAGCATAACACTAGACCATCTTTTTATTATTAGAAGTATTTTATGATGTACCTACATAAATAATAAATTAAGTTAAACGTATGTTACAATAAATATTAATGTGAAAAACACAAGTATTATATAATTATAATCACATCAAACATAAAATTATTTTGGTTAAATCTCAAAATGGTCCCCCGACTATTTGAATATTGTCAATTTAATTCTAAAGGATCATATTTCTCCAAAATGGTTCCCCAGTTATATAAAATTGACCCAAATGATCGATTGAGGATTAAATTGGAATCAATTTTGAATAGTTGAGAGATAAAATTAGAATGAATTTTGTATTATAATTTTTTATTTATTATGTGTGGTCTAGGGACCAAGTTGGAAGAATGTTATATTCGAAAATAAAATATTTTAAGCAAAATTAGGATGGAAAATCTACTCCCACCTAGTTGGAATGGGAGTGTCAAAAGGCTGAAGGGCTTACACAAAAACAAAAACTGGCCAACAGAAAAGCCTAGGAAGAAAAGAAGCCACAGATCAATCGTCCAAGTAAGGAAACACATCTCTCACAAATCCATGTACAAGAAAGGATGGAAGGCTCAGATTATTCACTAGGCACCAATTGGTGAGCCCTAGAAGGGGGCGGATGGCTAATGGGCATTTTTTTTTTATTATTATTTTTTTAAAACTATTGCATTTTATTATTTCCAATTATTCTTAACAAGTTTTCTGTATAATTGGAGCTAAAAATTGATTCAATTTTTGCGTGCGCTTCATTCTTTTGGCAAAATTGCAGTCCTATCTGCAATGGACACAGGTAACAGTTTACTATTGTAATATATCTGATTTTCTTACAACTAATTAAATGGGATTCTATTTGTGTTAGAATGGTGGGTTTCCTTGTGAACTTGTTCACCTTATGTTTTCATGACATGAATGCGTCAGATTTGCACTCTATCGGCGGTTTACTTCCTCTACTTGGATACCTGAGGAACTACAATGCCGGCATCCGAGCTAAAGCTGCGGAAGTAGTAACCACCATCGTACAGAACAATCCCAAGAGCCAGCAACTCGTAATGGAGGCAAGCGGATTGGATCCTCTGTTATCTAATCTTTCTTCTGATCCTGATGTAACAGTTCGTTCTAAAGCTCTTGGAGCAATATCTTGTAAGTTTCTTCCCTTTTTATTGCATTTGGCTTTTGAAAAATAATTGATAATTTAATTTCAATTATTTTTGTTGCATGCGCATTTCCAGGCTAACGCTAATAATTTTTCTACCCAAAAATTTCAGCTCTGATTCGAAACAACAAAACTGGAGTGAATGCATTTAAATTGGCTAATGGTTATGCAGCACTTAGAGACGCCCTGAGATCAAATGATGCCAGATTTCAGAGGCAAGTGCTATTCCACTATTTTGTTTCATTTTCTTTATAAGAAAAATAATTGACCCACTATAAGTGTCATCTAAAGGGGCTGTTTGGTATCCTATTTTAGGCAGTTAGGACGATAGATCCTATTGTTTTGATAAATCTCTTTTTAATTTGGTTGATATTTTTTTTCTTTTCATAAAGTTTAAATAAGTAGTTAAAATTTAATGATTGTCATGTCTAACAGTTTTCAAACTTTAATCCTCTCAAAATTTATAGGATTTTACTAAATCCCCAATTTGAGTTAAATCCTACTTGTAGCCAAACAGCTCTAGAATGTTCTTGAACCCTTTTCAGAATAATTATTGTTGTGAAGCGAGATGTTGCTGTTGTTTGGAGCATTGTATTCTATTTTAAAATGCATCAGGATGTATTATGACGGAATTCCATGGCTATTGCCAATATTTGAAATCCTGACAAAATACTGTTCAATTATTTGACAGGAAGGCTCTCAACCTGCTCCAGTATCTTCTTCAAGAAAACACATCTGACTACAGCACTGCTATGGAGCTTGGCTTTCCAAGGCTCATGGTGCACCTGGCTTCAAGTGATGATTCTGGCGTGCGAGAGGCTGCACTTGGTGCCCTTTTGGAGCTTGCTCGGGGGTCGACCTCGGAAGGTTCCAGCTCGTTTGACAAAGAAGATAAGCTGAAGCAGATCCTCCAAAACCGTATAGACGGCATCAGCTCTATGGAAGCTGAGGACTTGGGTGCTTCCAGAGAGGAGAGGCAGCTGTTGGATTCTCTATGGAGCGCATGCTATAACGAACCATCCTCACTCCGGGAAAAGGGTCTTGTAGTTCTTCCCGAAGAGGAAAATCCACAGCAGCCACCTGATGTTGCTGGAAAGTTCTTTGAGCCACCACTGCGGGCATGGGCTGCAAATAATCCGACTCGGCCGCCCGTTCCAGCAGTTGCAGAGAAGAAGAATGAGAGCCCGTTGCTACTTGGCCCTGGGCCTTCAGAATTGTGAAGCTCTGTGGTTGTTGACACAAGTGTGTTTTGAGACCACTCTCGGTAGGAATAGGTTTCATATGTTTAGAGCTTTGTAAGTTAGTTTTTATGGATGTTTTCTTTGTGACGCCTATAATGCTTCATGAAAAGCTTGTTCTACCTGTTCCTTCCTCCGTTCAAGACATTCGAGCTTTGTTTTGGTATGACTTTGCTTTTTTAATTATTTTGTTTGAAAACTAAAAAGATGCCAGATGAGTGGAGAATGAGTGTGTTAATTCCTATTTTTAAGAATAGAGGTGATGCACAAAATTGTACGAATTATAGATGTATTAAGTTAATGTGTCATACTTTAAAACTATGGGAGAGAGTTATGGAGCATAGGTTGCGGCGTGATGCTAATGTTTCTCAAAATTAATTTGGATTCATGCCGGGTAGGTCGACTATGGAAGCCATACATTTATTAAGAGGTTTGATGGAGAAATATAGAGAAAATAAGGATGATCTACATATGATATTTATTGATTTAGAAAAAGCATATGATAAAGTTCTAAGATAAGTGCTATGGAGAGTTCTTGAAAAGAAAGGAGTCAATAATGCTTATATTCAAATCATTAAAGATATGTATGCAGGAGCTATTACTTGTGTTCAAATACAAGGTGGATTGACTAAGTATTTTCTTATTTCGGTTGGGTTACATCAAGGATCAGCCTTAAGCCCATATCTTTTTGCTTTAGTCATGAATGTTCTCACTAGACATTTGCAAGAGGATGTACCTTTGTGTATGTTTTTTGCTGATGATATTCTTCTTGTTGATAAGACTAGAGAGGGAGTTGAAAGTAAACTTGAATTATGGAGGTCAACCTTAGAGTCTAAAGGTTTTCGCTTGAGTAGATCTAAAACAGAATATATGGAGTGTAATTTTAGTAGTAATAGACCTAGTGAGGGGATTGTGACTTTGGGGGCGATCAAGTCATTAATAAGAGTACACATTTTAGATATCTTGGATCTCTTGTTCAGAGTGATGGTGAAATAGATGGGAATATTATCATCAGAATTCAAGTTGGATAGTTGAAGTGAAGGAAGGCTTTGGGCTTATTGTGCGATAGAAAAGTCCCCTTCAAAGTTGCGACATAAGTCAGGAGGACCGTATTCAACGGGCGACGGATGTCAAAAAGACTGTAGTCGGTGGGCGACATAAGTCAGGAGGACCGTAGTCGGCTGGCGACGGAGGTTGGAAGGACTGTAGTCTGACGACGAAGATCAGTAGGACAGCGTCAGGTAGAAGTCCAGCAATGAAAAGAAATGCATCTTCGCATAGACGTCCAGCGGAGTCCGATAACCGGTAGAAGTCCGGCGTCGGGTAGAAGCTTGGCGAAGAGTGAAGGTCCGACGTCGGGCAGAAGTCCGACGTCTTTGGTGGCAGAGGAGAACTCCGTCTTCACTTGGGCGGAGTTTCGGCGTCATGAGGGAATTCTCTTGTAAATTGGGAAGAATTTCAGCATCCCATGGAAGTTGGGCAGAATTCTGGCGTTCTCTCGAAAATCCGGCAGGGTTCCGGCGTCTTCAGGCGGCAGGAAGAGCTCCAACGGCGGTGGTCGAGGAGGTGAGGAATCTCCTATTCCCCTTTCTCCTTCTTCTTCTCTCTCTTCCCTTCCCCCTCTTGTGTAGAATGAGGGCTCTATTTATAGTTTTTTCTGGAGTGGCATAGCCCGTAAATAGGTGTGAGATCAAGGGCGAATTGTGAGTGGTTTGAATGGACGGCCGATATCGAATCCTTTGATCATGTACCGTTCGTTGGTCATTTGAAGGCCTTAATGATGTCGGAATTTGATGATCTTGGGCTCGTTGGATTCGTCTCGTCGAGCCGTTCGATTCGAGTATAAGCTCGTCAAAATCGGAGACCGTTTGGTTACTCAAATTGCGGTTTGAACCTTCCAACAACGCTTTGAACCCTTGATTCAGACTCATTTGGGCTCGGATTGGGTTGATCTTGGAATCGTTGGGTTCGTATTTTCGAGACGCTCAGTTTGACTATAAGCTCGCTGAAATCGGAGTTCATATGCTCCCAAAATTAATTTTTGAAGTTTCCGAACTGATTTTGCCTCGAGATTCGTGCCCAATCAAGATAATTTTGTGATGACGTATCAATAATTTTTGGGATTTCTTTTTTAATCACAAAAAAAAAAAGCTTGTTCACATTTGAAATTTTGTTTAATTTAAGAAGTAATTTAAATTTGATTGATTCTATAAATTTATTTATTTAATGAGTCAACTATAAATAAATTATTATTGCATCATAATTTGATTGTGTATATATTTAATAATTTTTTATTATGAGTAATATTTTTTAAAATAAATGATGCAAATTTGTTAATTAAAAAAATAACTCTCGTTGTCTTATTGGTTTTTCAGAACCATGCTGTTAAGTGCTGGTCGAGAATTTCCTTCCAACGGATATTATTATATTTATGAAGAGGTTATGTTAGGCCCAATAATTAACAAATCAAACATAAATACAAAATTTTCAGCCCTATCCATCGTTCGATGTGCGCAAGTGACCATCTGACCGTCCGTTACATATCCGATAAAGAATACGGCGCCACTTGGAGGTGAACATCATTTTCCAAGTGAAAGTAAGCAGAAAAGTATTCGAAAAAGAAAAAAGCGAATCCAAAACGACTATCTAACGCGTCCACGTGGCAATTTGGACGGGGAGGATCAGAGTCTGATCATAGCTTTTTACCAATTAAAGTACACTAAAATATCTCGCCTTCATCCCAACTTTCTTACCCTCTTTGCGTTCTGCTCATCCTTCCTGCAATCAGAGCCATAAATCTCATCGGATCAGCTTGAATTGCAATGGAATTTGCCCTTTAGAAGCAAATCTGGTCGCCCGCCCCGAGTCGGTTGATCAAGGTCTTCCTGCGATGGCCGAGGATTCCGGCGAAAGAGATTCTGTGCGATTGCCTCCCGAAGACGATGCCGATGGGGGCGTCAGAGACGGGAGAGGAGTTCATGGAGACGACGTTCGAGTGCTGGAGTGGGTGGACGGGTTGCCTAGCGGCGAAGATCTTATTCCCCTGTCCCAGCCGCTGGTCTCGCCGGAGTTGGCTGCCGCCTTCAGCATCCCGCCGCCGGACCTCAAAACTATGCTGGATATCCACCGCGCCACCCAGCACACTATATCCAACCTCCGCCGACAACAGAATCCCTCCAAGTCCACTACAGCAGCTGCCCCTCCCAAACCCTTTTCAGCCGCCGATCCCAAGGAATCTTCTACCTCACAGAAGCCATCCCGATGCACTGACCAGGGTCTAGAATCTTCTGCCATGGAAACGATTGCAGAAATAGAGGGTGATTCCTCCTCCCTCCCCACCGAGAACTCAGCTGAAGACAACTCTGGCCGAATGCCGAAGCGGCCGCGGCTGGTGTGGACGCCACAACTCCATAAGAGATTCGTGGACGTAGTCGCTCACCTCGGCATCAAGAACGCCGTGCCCAAAACTATTATGCAGCTGATGAACGTGGATGGTCTAACCAGGGAGAACGTCGCCAGCCATCTGCAGAAGTACAGGCTGTACTTGAAGAGAATGCAGGGGCTTTCTAATGATGGTCCTTCTTCCTCCGATCATCTCTTCGCTTCGACACCAGTGCCGCAGAGCCTTCAAGAACAGCCGATGCCATATGCCGTGCCGACAATGATACCTATGCAGGTTTACGGCATACCGCATCACCATGCTCATGGAGTGGTTCCGGTGAATAATCATCTAGCCGGCCGATTATATAACGGTTTTGATTCTTTTCAACCCTATGCGCACAATGATTGGTCGGGTGGAAGCAAATTTGCCTCAATCGTTTCTAACGCTCATGTTTCTCCCAATGATAATAATAGAACTGGAGAAAAACGGAAGCAATAAATAAATTTTCCTGGTTAAGTTTGATTGCAGATGCAGGACTTCTATAAGTTTAGCTTCCTTGTGATTCTTTCTGAGGTATGCCCAATACAATTTCTACTTTAATTTATGATCTAGGGTTTGAGTTCGATTAGTGAAAAATTGGAAACGCATTTTCCTTAAAAATGTTTGCTTCATATCTTCAAATTCTCCAGGTTTGAATCTTAATTGTGTGAAATAGCAGTATTTTCTAGACGCTTTTATAAACTACCTATAATTAGAGGCCTATTATCTCAGTTCTGTGTGGCTTTCATATTGCCTGTTTTGAGATTCTTGCAAAAGCTTATTGCATTCAGATTCTTCCCACTATTGTAGTTAAGCTCGTGACCATGCACGTTCAATAATGGACTATTGTTCTATCTTCTCTGATCTCCTTGTTTTCTGTTTTAAGTTAATTATATAAACTCGCACTGATTGTGTCTGTGATCCCGCACTACCATATGGGACAAGCACAAGCACAAGACTGCCTATGTTAATGTGCTATTTTATTTTACTATGTTTGCTTTGCTTGATGTGCCGGTAATTAATTTGATGTCCATATTAATATTTCTCTAGTTTTCTGAGGAGATGCAAGTTTTAATTACTTGTTATCTTGTTATTTATATCTCATTTACTCTTTGATGTCATCTTCATCTCCATTATAAGTATAAAAAGACCCTTTTTTTCACATACTCAACAACAACAACAACATCAAGCCTTCGTGCCACTACGTGGGGTCGGCCACATGAATCTTTTTTCTCCATTTTGTCTTGTTAAAAGTTAAGTTCTCGTTTAAATCTAATAAAGAAAGATTATATCTAATATTTTCTAACCCAGTCTTTTTAGGTCTACATCTACCTTTTGTAACATAAGTCAAATATAATACATCTACTTTCCTAACGGGGTCATTAGAAGGCTTCCGTTCTATAAGACTAAACCATCTAAGGTTACTCTCTCTAATCTTATCTTCCACTGGAGCTACTCCAACATTTTCACGTATATGCTCATTTCATATCCTATCTCTAAGGGTAAAACCACTCATCCGCCTGAGCATCTTCATCTCTGCAACTTATGCTTCTCTTTTTATGGCCAACATTCGGTACCATCAAGCATTGCAGGACTCACCACCATCTTATAGAATTTTCCCTTAAGTTTGAGGGGGACTTTTCTATCACACAACAAGTCCGATGCATTCCTCCGCTTCAACCATCCAACTTGAATTCTGCTGATAATATTCTCATCTATTTCACCATCACTCTGATTTTTTTTTCATATATTCAGTGGATTTTTTTTTAGCCAAGATGAGCGTTTTAGAAATTATAAGTATTAAAAGACTCTTTTTATCTTACTCTTAGGCTTGATTTGGGATGGTTTTCTTTCCGTTTTTTAAAACAGTTTTCTAGTGTAATAATTATTGTACTAGAAAGTTGTTTTAAGAAACATTAATAAAGCCTTAAAGCTTAGCCTCTCAGGATTAACTTTTTAAGCTAGGGTGGGCGTTTGAATCTGACCCACCAGAATACTCAAATTTATTTCCAACCGATTCACTGCGAGTTTGTGCACTTTCATTGGATTTTTTTAAATTATTTCTCTGTTTCGTTCATTTTTTTTGACTTGGTGACAAACTATCTTCTTCAGCTATTCAATGTATCATTTTGGATTCCATTACACTCAAAGCAGCTAACTTGATCAGGAGTTATATTGAGGTGTGGTGAGAGATTGTGAGATTTTAGTTGTTGGATTAATGATCTTGAAGGATGTTAATGATGTAGAGAAAAAAAAGTTTTGAATAATTTAGAGCATGTATTAAAGAGGAAAGTGAATCATATAAAATAATAAAGATAATTATATAATCTCATCAAACACCAATCAAATGAAGAGCACTTCTTCACCAAGTGATTTCATTTCCATAAATCATAATTATAATGCATATCGTCTCATATTTATAGGCATTACCAAATTATTAGGCAACCAATTATATGGGGAAAAATGGGAGGAAATAATGAAGTTTTTAGATATTAAAGAAAAAGAGTTTCAACCATTTATTTTTTTATGCTTCATCTATCACAAATCACATCATAGTTGGGCATATTAGTCTCAATATTGAAAATAAAATATAAAGTGAACAAAGTATAAATTATTTCGAATAACTGGCTCTTTATTAGGCCCATGTAATTGGGCTTTTTCTTTAATTTTGTTCTTGGGCTTTATCCTTAGCTCATATAATTAAGCTTTTAACTTGGTTATTTTGGTCCATGTGATTGTCTATATCAACTCCCCCAAGCTCTGCTGAACTTTGCTCTATGAGTTAATATTTAAATAGTCTTCTACCAATTGTGGCGATAATGTCACACAATCATTATAAGTTGGACATGTATTATTGCTTGGTATTTTATTTTTCTAGCAAATTAAAAAGCCAACTTATACAATGGGTGTTTTATTAGTAATGATATAATCCATCTAAAAAAATGACAGATTTTTCAAGTGATGAATTAAGTTTTTTTTTTTGCTAAAAAGTTAAATTGAATAAGTGAAAGTTTGTTAACTCTCTTACTTGATAAAATATTTCAAATGTTAAAAATAAAATAGATTAAGATCAATGTGGTAAATAAGATCCAATTTTCTTATGAATTTTGAAGGAGCACACTTAACTTTGAAATTTCTCAATGAAATTTTAATAATTACATTGAAGTTATTGATGTCCTCGTTAGTATCCATATCCTAAAATCATTCATCAGACACATAAGATTCTAGAGGTGGCTTCTACAGGTTTAAGTGATGGCTTCCATCATATAGCACTTTATCCCATATAGAATTCAATAGATGGTCTCTATGGCATTGTATTTTATTCTGCTTCTGACTGTTGTATTGCTTTGATACCCTCTATAACATTCTAAACTTTTAACTATCAAGGTATCATCTACTTTGGTATACTGCCCTCGTACTTTTGTTATGTTAGTACAATTTCATAGAAGGTCACCCATCTCAGGAGTAATCCTGCATGAGTATGCTTAACCTTGAAGTTTCTTAATAAAATTCTAACCAATACATCAAAAGATGCATTGAAATTTAAGATTTGAACTTCTTTTAACGTAAGGGCTCTCACAAAACAATTTGTCATTAATTGAAGTAATCTGTGTTATGGTATCATTTTAGACTTTATCTTGAAATTGTTTGATTACATCAAATTATCAACTGTTACATTCAAATTGTCAACTATTACATCAAATTATGCATAATAAGAAAATTTATGGGATCAGAGATTGATTACATCAATTTTTCACCTAAGATTTTAACCATATATTATCTCAAATTGTGATGCTTTGATTATTTTAGAGATAATGCTATTATATATGAATTCGGATGTAGACAAATATAAATTTCAATTTGTTTATTTTTTTCCTACATGACATCTAAGTATGTTTCATAATATTCAATTTGAGATTTTCAATTAGGTGCCAAATAATATTAATAAAGTTTTTGAGAAATATGAAATGAATTTAATTTTACTATGAAAGACAATGGTTGAAGGAAGGTCATGGAGACAGATAATTTACTCAAAGAATAATATAGCAATATGAGAATTATCATTAGTTTTTTAGCAATGTAAGAAATGGGTCATATTGGAGAACTTGTCAACTATTACAAAAATACTATTATGTCCTCTAGTTATACATGCAACACTAAGATAAAATTCATGGAGATATCTTTTTAAGGTCTATAAGCGATGGGCAGATTTTCAAAATATTCATTGGAATAATGTTTGGTCATTTTGGCTTGTTTATATATTAGATATTGGACCACTAATTTTTGAATATCTCATTTAAGTGAAGGAAAAATTGAATTTTCATTTATGACTTAATTTTTATTGTGTATTATAAATTTAAGGACATTATGATCTGAATTAAGAATGAACTTCCTATATAAATATATTGGAGTCAGAGTCTCAACGATTGATAATATCATAACTTTCTTTTTTATATGCTGAACATTTTACTTGTTGACTTTGGCAAAGATCAGAAGAGTTAGAAGATTAATCGCTAACCAAATATCAAATTTATTAACAATTTTGAATATGTCATTCGCAGACTTGTAGCATATAGGGAGATTTAAAAGCTTAATTCAAATAAGAATTTCTTTAAAATCCTCTTTTATAGAAGAAATTATTCTGCGTGGAGACCGGATGCATAACGTCGTCCGGAGTCTAATCAGAATGCGCCACATCAATGGTACCGAGCCATGGTGCCTAACAAAAAAATGACATGATGCATTCTGATTGATCTCTAAAGTGTGCACATAGAATAATTAATCCTTTCATAGAGACAAAAATGTGATGCCTAAGTTTTGAAGACAAATAATGGCATATGGCCATAAAATTGACAAGTTCAATGGGTACAAGGCAAAAAAATTGGAATGAGAACATTTCAATCATGTCAGTGTTTGCCACAAAATTATAATGTTTAAGATATAAAATTATATATTTATACTAAAACCCGTACATCATTAAATAAATTCCCACATACACTATATATATATTATTTGTGACGAGGAACCAATCCATAAAACGGTATGTTAATCCTGGTCAATCTAGCAGGCAACCCATACTAATTTACCTGGGCCAACACTTAAGGCTGTAACGGCCGCCCATGGGATTCGAGCTCGAGACCTGGGCTTTGCCCAGCCAAGCTCCCCCCACATGAGCTAAGCTGCGGTGGGTCACATACACTATATTATAGAACATGGGACAAAAGCAATGCATTTACACTGGTCACAAAGCACTTCCTTCGAACACATGGACGACGATCTCATCTCCTAAAAAGTGACAAGCCGACACCATGATCCCAACCTAAACTCCTTATCATTTACTTATCCTCACACACTATTATTATAAATAACAACTAGCTATTACTCAGTAACATGCTCATATTTTTTCCGAATGGTTATGTTAACAATATGCTCTAATAAAAATATCCAAAATTATATTCTGAGTGAATCCAAAATTATATGCTCACCTACGATGTTTTGAGCAATTTCTATAGAAGCAGCAGAACGATCCGTCGATCAAAAATTAAAATTTCCCCTCTCTCCTTCTTCCCCCTTCTCCTTTTCCTCGCTCGGAAAGCCGGTGCAGCTAGCGATGAGGGTGAGGGGCGATGAGGGGAGAAATATAATAATAATTAGTGTGTAGCATTGCAACGCCATAATTCAGCGACACAATGTTGCATGCTAAATCTAGAATTACTGTAGAACAGTCTTCAATGCTGCGATGATATTTTCTAACACCATTGCACTCCAGACCAGGCGCCGCTACGCTGCAATTCAAACAAAAATTTAGTTTTACTTGTTAATATGTTTTTTTTAGAAATTTCGAGGCGTTACATATAATATAATAACTCCTAATCATTTTATACTTGGCATTATACTACTCATTTCAATTAAATGACATATAAAAAAAAATCACCTAGTGAACTTTTAATATTAACTAGTCATAATACTAATAACAATATCTACCATAGATAAAAATTTATAGTGTGAAAAATCATTAAAGTAAGATATATTATATTTTTATCAACTTTAGGAGGAAGGAAAATAGACAAAATATGAAATAATTGAAAACAGAAGTAGGGTTACAATTACCAAAACAAGGTCTCTTAATTGTATGCTTTGCTACTTACTTTCTCTGGAAGGAAAGAAATGAAAGAAGATTCAATTCTAAGCTTAGAAGTGTCTCTTCTCTTTGTTCCTTAATGAAAGTGGCTGTGGAGGTGAAAGTTTCCAACTGGATGCATGGTGAAAATCTCAGAATTCCTTGGCCTTCTTAATGGTGATCATTTTGATTAGGGGTATTTGGACTTTTTATTTCTGCTAGTTAATCTTCTTAAGATGGGCGGTTATTGCTTGGACCTTGTTTTGGTTCATTACTGCTGTTGTTATGTTATATGAAGCTCAGTTTTGTTTGGGGCGTTGGCTGGAATTTCTGTTATGCAGCCCATGTGTTGATTACTGTCAGTCTCATGCCATCGGCTGTGAATTTTTGATATGGAATAGTTTCGCTGCTTCAGCTCTACATGTCCCTCTCGGCTTTGAATTTTTGATGTGGAACATTTTTGCTGCTTCAGTTCTACATATCCTTGGATGGCCTGTTTGACAACCTTGGACTTATTTGCTTGGCGGAAATTTTTCGATACAGGACAATGATGTAGCTGCTAATCATCTCCTTGGACGACCTCTGGGGCAACCAGGAGATATCTGCTCGGTCGCGTCGGAAACATGATGGTATTGTTTGGATTAGCAGCCTGAGTCCAATATGTTGCCCATACAAATTTTTTGCTTCAATTGTCATTTGTAACTTCTCTGTTTTAAGTTTCTTTTTGGAGGTATAAGTTTTTGGTTGGACATCCTCTTTTGTATGATGTTTAACCTTTTTATTATTTCTTACTCGTAACATTTATATTTGGAATATATGGGCTGCTGCCCTCATTTTTCCAAAAAAAAAAAAAAAAAAATTACCTATCACAATATGAATATTTTTCTCAAAAACGTCAAACGAAAATGCTCCAAAGAGAACTCTCACTCTCCTCCCTTCTCTCACTTTTGTCTCTCTTTTATCTCGGGTATTATATATATAATTTTCCTACCCTAACGCCGCAGCACACTCTTGGCTAATTTTCAGAACAATAGGGAAATTAAATTTTTGACCGTTACAAAATATCCGTTAATTATTGAGAATGCTCCTTTTGAGGTTGAATGTTTCCCTTAGTGTTCAATATATATTAGGTGAAGCTCGGCACACATTAGGTATTAATCTCTAATTTGTTTAAATATTGGGATTTATAAGTTTTAAAGAATATATTATCAATATTATCTTTGATAAGCATCACTAAGTTTGTTTTAAACTCCATGTTTATATTTTAGGACAAATGAGTAATTCTAGACGAACCCGATGCATTTGGCATGCTTATGAGTTAATTTTTATTGTGTATTTATAAATTTAAGGACATTATGATCTGATTTAAGAATGAACTTTCTATACAAAAATATTAGCGTCAGTGTCTAACTATTGATAATGTCATGAATTTTTTTTATATATATGTTGAACCTTTGCATGTTGACTTTGGCAAAGATTAGACGAGTTAGAAGATTGACCACAAACAAAATATCAATTTTATTCACAATTTTGAATATGTCATTCGCAGAGTTGCAACATAGAGAGAGATTTGAAAGTTGAACCCAAATAAGAATTTCTTTAAAATCCTCTTTCATAGAATTTATTATTCTATGCGGACGCCAAACATCATCCGGGGACCAACCAGATTGCATCACATCACCTCTTCATTGTATTGTGCTCGATACTGCTATACTGACGTGATTGCACATGAGTATTCTCCAAATATAAAACTGCATCTAACCTTCACATAGAATAATTTCTCCTTTCGCAGGGACAAAATGTGATGCCTAAGTTTTGAAGACAAATATTCACGAATGGCCATAAAATTGACAACTTCAATGGACAGAGGGCAAAATTTTTTTGAATGAAAGCATTTCAATCATGCAATGTTTGCCACACAAAAGTTGAATGTTTAAAATATAAAATTATATATTTATATTAAAATCCGGACAACGTTAAATAAATTCCCACATACACTATATTACAGAACATGGGACAAAAGCAATGTATTCACGCTGGCAAGAGCACTTCCATCAAACACATGGACGACGATCTCATCTCCCAAAAAGTGACAAGCCGGCACCATGATCCCAACCTGAACTCCCTATCGCCGCCACAGTTCCATCGCCGGAGCCGGAAAGACTGGCATCCCCAAGCAACCTCTTCTTCATAGAACCAGAATGGAAAATAAGCAAATCCTCCTCCGTCAACGCCGGAATACTCAATTCCCCTTCCAAATACTGCACCACCTGCCTCATTCTCGGCCGCGCCACCGCCGCCGGCGAAGAACACATCAATCCTAAACTCAAAACCATCTCCATCTCTTTTACAACAAACGTATTCCCCAATCTCCTATCCCTTGCTTCAATCAACTCTCCTCTCTCCATAAACTCCAGTACCCAGTCCACAAGCACGAGCTCCACTCCAGTCGTCTTAAACTCAACTGGTTTCTTCCCGCAAGCGACTTCTAGGAGAAACGCCCCGAAAGCAAAAACATCAGAGCTGGTTGTCGATTTCCCCGTTCTAGACAGCTCCGGAGCGAGATAACCCAGCGTTCCAACCACACGCGTCGTCTCCGCCATGCTCCCGCGGTCGTGTAGCCTTGCGAGCCCGAAGTCTCCGAGCTTTCCGTTGAAATCAGCGTCGAGGAGGACATTGCTCGCCTTAATGTCCCTGTGAAGCACCACTTGTTCCCATTCCTCGTGTAGATAAAGCAGCCCTGCCGCGATGCCTTTGATGATGTTAAATCTTTGTGTCCATGTGAGAGATTGCTCCACTCTGTTGAAAAGGTAATGATCGAGGCTGCCGTTGGGCATGAAATCGTAGACAAGGATGAGTTGTCCTTGGCTTCGTGTGTATCCGTGGAGCTGAACTAAGTTCCGGTGGCGGAGCCGGCCGATGGTTGCAATCTCTGCTATGAATTCCTTCATTCCCTGTCTCGAATCATGGGAGATTCTTTTTACTGCAATCTCTTGCTTTGATTTGGACAGCACGCCTTTGTATACTTCGCCAAATCCCCCGTTTCCTAGAAGGTTCTCAACGCTGAAACCTCTAGTCGCTTTGTGTAGATCTCTGTATGACAGTCTCTGCAGACCGTACTCGGTTTCCCATTCCTCTGCCGCCTCTGCAAGTCTCCTCCTTTGCTTAAACACTAGAAAGAGAGAACCTAAGACCATTACGAGAAACACGATGATGGTTACCGGAAACCAAAAGAGAATCGCTTTTTTTCTCTTTTTGTCATCTGGAAGTTCCAAAAGAGACGGGAGATTAGAAGCTAGGAGCTCTGCTTCTCTGCCGTTCAAACTGAAGCTCCATCCGAGAATGTAATGCGAACCGGCGGCTGCACCGGTGGAAGAAGAGAACCCCACGTACATTTCGCTTAGAAGAACTGAGGAGAGGTTGATGGTGTAAGACATAAGAGGTAAAAACGGCTTCGGGCTACTAAAGGGAGCTAATGTCACATTAAACTCCATCTTCTTCGCATCATACTCTGCCCAAACTCGCATTGTCTGGCTGCTAATCAAGCTCAAATTTCGAAAAAGGGAAGAGCTTTGGGCGTATGAAGCCGGAGCGGCGACGACGGAAGTTAAGCTATTTAAGTTGATGCCGACGTGGTTGTCGTTGATGTCGTCAAACTCCCTGTTCTCAATGGTGTCAAGCTCAACAGCGACGATGTGGTTGGTGGGTTGGCCGTTGCTGGAGAGGTTAAAGAGACCGAGGAACTGGCTGGGAAGGGTGGAGTAGAGGTTTGGGGTAGGGGAGATGGCAAAGGCGAGACCTTCGGAACTGATTTCTGTGTAGTGTGGGACGATAGCGAAGACGAAGGAAGTGGAGAATGAGGAGGGTTCGCCGGAGGAGTTGAGAAAGGGGAAAGGGGTTGGGTAGAATGCGTGGCTGAATTCTTGGTTTGTGGCGTTGGTGAGGCGGAGGAGGCCGGTGACCTCTATCTCGGCGGCGCCGTTGAGGATGAGTCCACCGGCTTGGAACCCGTTGAAGACGAATTCTGTAGCCCCGGCCGCCGCCGGTACGGTTATGAGTGTTAGAATAAAGAGGAGAAAGCAAGAAGAGAAGGCACGAAGCATCGTTTACACCTCACTTTGTGGAGAGATCGTGAAGATGATTTTGATCATAATAAAAAAGAGAATGTATCCAAATAAAAATAAAAATAAAAATAAAAACAATGCACCAAACAGCTGTACTGATGTATCTCCGTTGTATATAATATATAATATGAATGTGATATATATATATATATATAAATACGATAAGTCTGGCCCAATTATGACGTGATTAATTTTTTAATTTAAATAAATTAAATGAATATTTAATTTAATTAAGTTTATAATATTTTTTTATAGAATATATATTTCAATTATATGAATTAGATTATATATTTTTTATTTTTATTAAAGATATACAATTATTATACTATACTTTAAGTCTTTTCAATTTGAATAAAATTTTAATAATGTATCATATAAATATATTCATTTGAATACTATGTATTTGCCTAATCTTTAAGGATGGGATATTTTGTTGTTTAATAAATAGGACATTAGTATTCGGTAAAAGATTAATTTATTGATGGTTTAAATGTTTATGTAGTGGGTTATTTTATATTATTCAATCAATATTTTTATTTTATATACTATTTTATATTATTCAATCAATATTTTTATTTAATATAATATAAAAATTGTATGTATTTTATTATATATATAGATATATCATAAATGATTTATCTTGAGTAGACAAGAATCTTGAGGCAAAATTGAATTGGAAACTTTCGAAATTAAATCTGAGACCATCCAAACTCTAATATCAATAAACTTATAGTCGAATTAAACGTCTTGGAAAGACGAACCCAACTACACCAAAATTAGTGAAATTCAAGCCTAAATGAGCCCAAATCAATGTTCCAAAATATTTGAAGGTTCAAAGCATAATTTGGACTACCAAATGAATTCCAAACATGACATGCTTATAGTCAAATCGAGCGGTTTGACGAGACATATCCAACAAGCTCCAGATAGCCGAAAGTTTGCTAAAAAATAATATATCACAAATTTTATAAGTTTTGACCAAATTAAAATTTATATAAAATATAATATGAAAAAGTATTGAAATCAAAGATAATATAATTGTTGCTTACAATGAGAAAAGCAACTTTTTCAAGAGGACCAATTGACAAAAAATGCACTGATCATCAAATCCTAAGTTTTCTTTTTGTCTCCCTCTCTTTTCTCTTTCTTTTCTCTTTGATTTTTGGTTTATATTTCCCTGTTCAGTTGAATGAATATGGAATAGGCAATTGATGGACTTTCTTAGTGGATGAGGATATTTAAAATAAAATAATAATATAATATAAAGGTAGTTATGCAATTTATTTATTTTTTAGTGTAAAATTTATCTAAATCCTTTTTATATCTTCAAATTTTGGGAACTAAAAATTATAAAAAAATATTCATAACATAGCACATGTCTAGAAAATTCTGGTGAAATCGGTTTGCAAAACGAACATCTAAATATCCTAAAAACTTCACTTATGCCGATATGTGCCAATTTTTCATATTGCCCATGAAATTAGAAGATAATTAGTATAATTAAAACACACTAATAAGTATGATATGATGAAGATGGTTTGCAATTTGAAATTGTAATGACTCCTAAAATATTATTTAACTATCTTAAAATATGAACTATTACGATCTCTCCATCTATAAAACAAAAGAAAAGAAAACTTAATTCTTCAATTTGTTAAATAAACTAGTTTGAGACAAAACAAATCAATTTGTTATCAATAAATTCAAAATAATATTGATCATTCGCTTATCATTTCTTTCAATCAATTATGCATTCGATCAATCTTTCACACTCATGCACCATTAAATTATATATCATATGAATGAGACTATGCAATGCTTATTACTCAAATAAATACATATGATTGAGAATTCTATCGTTAGATCCTCCCAACACATTATCCTGTTGAATCAAATTATAAACTATGGATCTTACTGTTGTTAGTGCTGATGTAACAGAATTTGTGGGCTATTTTTTTTGACTTTCGCTAGCTCCCATTTCATTTGTTCTGCTCATAGATCCCTCACTGTATTCTCTGGATCCAATTGTCCTCTATCTATAACCTTATTTGGATTGTTTTGCTCCAACCACAAATCTTCATCCTTTAAATCTCATATTGCAATCTATAATCTTATGTCCATATTGCACACATCTAAAACTTTGTCATGCTCCGAGATTTTGAGTCATGTTCAATTAATGGTTATTAGAGTTGTCGCTCCTGCCTATTGGCATATCTTGCCCCCTTATAACTTCATATTCTGAATCATGATTCTTAAATCTTTAATTTTGCATTGCAATTACATCATAACCCATAATATAAAGGAAAGCCCACTAGCCTTATACAATGTATCTTGCATTGTGATTACTCCTATACTGGGTATCTTACTTCGGCCAATCTGAGTTGTTTAACAACTATATAGTCTTTCTTTATTACATATGAATGTCACATGCATCATATATCAATTATATAATTTTTACCTATGAATGAAATGATATAATAAAATATAAAAAATAGAAAAAGTATTAATAAAAATTTATAACTTTCATTTTATAGATAAAATTCATAATATGCTAGTCAAAATACTCATATTGACGTTATCCATCACATATAAAAAATTATGCGGTGAAAGTTTGTTAAAAATTAAGATATCACAACTTTTGTAAATTTTGACTAAATTTAAATGCATAAAATATAAAATATGTAAAATCATTGAAATCATAGGTAAGGTAATGACAGCTTACAATAAGACGAGCAACTTTTCCAACATGCAGAGAAAATCACTTTACGACCTTCAAACCCTAAGTTTTCTTTCTCTGTCCCTCTCTTCTCCCTTTAATTTTTTGTTTATATTTCTCTCTTTAGTCGGATGAACGGGGAAAGGGCATTTGATGGATTATGTGAGTGAATGGGGATATTTTGAATAAAATAATAATATGATACAAAGGTAATTATGCAATTTATTTAAATTTTAGCATAAAACTTATATAAATCATTTTATATCTTAATATCTTGGGCTCTAAAAATTATAAAAAATATTTATAAAATAAAACATATCTAAAAAACTCGGGTGAAATTGATTTGCAAAACGACATCTAACATTCCAAAAAATTCCACTTACACCGACATATGTCACTTTCTTACACTGCCCCTAAAATTAGGAGGAAATTATTATAATTATAACATAATAATAGATATGATATGATGAAGATAGTTTGTAAATTGGATTTATAATAATTACTAAAATATTATTTAACCTTATCAAAATATAGGATATTACAAGTTTTGGATATATGACATTTTATTTAATATGACTATAGAAAGAATATTGGGTGCAAAATGTTCAGGAGTGAATATACTACATTTAAATATGAGATATATGACATGCATATGGTTCTTATTCATTTGGCATAACATTTATTTTTCTAAAATGCATGCATATTGATGTGCACACTTGATAGGTCTACATGTTATGATAATTACATATGATTTGTAGAAAATATATGTTATTTTGATATAGATGATATAAAATGCATGTAAGAGCAAGCAAAATGAAGGAACTTTAGATGAGATAGATGAGATTGGTACTTATATGATTAAGAAGACTAATAATTGATATAAAAGTAACAAGAGATTAATGATGGATGTAACTAATAACTAATAAGACTGATGATAAACAAAACTAATGTATGTTGAGTGAATACTGATATTGATGATTGATAAGTTCGATAATAGATAAGATTGATGATTGATGAAACTGATAACAGATAATCAATGATACCAATTCCTGGTGGGTTAACCATAGGACTAATGAGATTGATTTCTATTTGGTTGACCTTGAGACATATATATACATGATACATTATATACAAGATATGTAAAATATACATGATATAATACATATGATATATGATATGATTGATATAATTGATTGAACAATGAGATTGATTTATAAATAGAATCGATTGACTGATTGAATGATAACACAAATATTACTGATGATTGATATGCATCAAGGTTGATCCTACACTAATGTATATGAATGTATAATGTAAGATTAAAGACACATGATATATGTAATATATGATATGATTGGTTCACTTGATATAGATATAATTAATGTTTATATGAATAAGGATTATTGCATATTGTTTCTATTTTGTACATTGATTTTAGTTTTAGATTTTTGTGATTTGTTAGGCTTTCGTGATCATTATGAAATTTTTATATATTTTCAAGTAAAGATAAGAGATCAGTAGAGTGACATTGATATGGTATGCAATTTTAGATTTTCTTTTTGTTCTTATTAGTTCTTTATTTTGTAGTCATGATATATTTACAGTGATGGATTGTTGTTGGTTGAATATCATGTTTATTTTATATATTGTTTTTGGGTTATTGATCAATTTGTAAACATTGGATGAATATTAATGTATTTATATATTTTCTTGATTATATTACTAAGATGAAATTAGTAAGTTATGATTGATGATTGAGAAGATAAAAGATACAATCATTCCAATTTAGATCTTCGGGCATCACAAAGGAAGAGGTAAGTGTGCGGCATGAAGTAATGTACAAGTTGTCTCGATGAGGTGACGATGATTGCGTTCGACTACCCCATTTTGTTCTAGGGTGTATGGGCAACTATATTGGTGTGTGATGTCATGATTGGAGAAAAAGTATTGCAAGTGATGGGATGTGTATTCACTGCCACCATTGGATCATAAGATTTTAATTTGTTAGTTAAATATATATTTTTCTATAGCTACAAATATAATGATTTTTTTTTTTTTTTTTGAGGTTTTTGCTTTAGAATGCATGTGATAAAGCCATGTAAATTTAGAGAAGTCACTACGAATATAACATGCTACTTGTATCCATTAAAGGATGAGACCAAATGTGACACCCGTATCTATATTGAAATAATTGAGATTTTATTTTCTTAATCATCAGTCATAGCTTATTAATTTAAATTAATCATTCAAGCTTGGATATATATATATATAGGAAATTAATTCATATGCTTAAGAGTATTTTCTGCTTGAAGAGATTTTCTGGTTCGAGATATTAGGAAATTTTTTTCCCTTTCCACTCTTCTTTTTATTATTCTTAAAGCAATCGCTTTCAAAAGAAAAAACAAGAAAAAAAAGAAGGAGATAAACATAAAGAGTCGATCAAAGTTGCAACCATATATACTTTAAAGTATTTTTTGCTTTGGTTTCTTAATTACATTTCATTTTGGCATGTGGATTTACAAACAACGACAAAGAGACAATTACAGGTTCCCAAAACAAGAGGAATTTTAATCTCGCCTATTTTTATAATGAGGTAAGGGCAATGCCATCTTCGAAAATTTCAGCAAAAAATAGCATAAAAATCGAACGGCCATGATCAATCTAGTCAGCCTGTCAAATTCAACATTTATATCATCTGTCTTCTTATATAAATAATAAAGTTTTTGTTTTTAATATCAGGCAGAATTGGGTCCCAACTTTGAAAATTTAACACCTATAATTTTGAAAGATGGTTCTTCTCAAATGAAGTAAGATATTACTGAATCAAAAAAACTTTCCTTCATCCTCAGATGTGGAAACCTACAGATTTGAACTAACATCTGATACCTCGGGCATTAGAAGGTCACCCTCTAAAATTTGTATTTCCTGTCGCATATTTGGCCTAACTTTATCTGAATGATGTGAGCAAAGCAATCCAAGCCTCAATACAAGCTCAATTTCTTCAGGCTTGCTGTTACTTCCAGCTTCAGCACTCCAACTCTCCATAATTGTTCTTCTTCTCAAACTTTTATGCAAATAATCGACCAAATTAATAGAATTTGAATAGTCTTCTTGTAGGATTAATGATCTTCTCCCACATACAACTTCAAGCAACAGGAACCCAAATGCATAGACATCAGTGCAAGTACTCACTTTTCCAGTTTTGTTCAGTTCAGGAGCAATATAACCCATAGTTCCAACTATACGAGTTGTCTTAGAATCACTTCCATGATCATACAATCTTGATAGTCTAAAATCTCCTAGTTTTGCATTCAGTTCTTCATCAAGCAACACATTACTGGCTTTCACATCTCTGTGAATCACAACTTGTTCGAACTCCTCATGTATGTAGAGTAGTGCAGAAGCCACGCCTTTAATGATACTTAATCTCTGGTTCCAATTAAGTTTCTTCTTTCCTGTTTCGTCATAGATAAACTTATCGAGGCTTCCATTCGACATGAACTCATACACTAGAAAGAGTTCCCCTTTTGGCCGGTAGTAGCCGAGTAGCTGAACCAAGTTTATGTGACTAAGCTGTCAAGTGCTGACAATTTCAGAAACAAATTCTCTCATTCCCTGTTTTGAGTCATGAGAAATTCTTTTGACTGCAATTTCAGTCTTTGAAATTCGTAATTTTCCTTTGTATACTCTTCCAAATCCTCCAATTCCAAGTAGCTCTTCTTCACTGAAGCCTCTGGTAGCCATGTATAGCTCTCTGTAAGAGAATCTAAGATGTTGGTACTGATAAAGCTCCTAGTCATCCAATATTTCTGCATATTTTATTTTCATTACAGTTACATATGTGATTGCACTGATAGCAACTATAAGAAATGCTAGTCCTATAATAAATATCTTATAAACTAAGTCACTATTCCTTTTGTCGTATTTGTTTTGAAGGAAGGTTGGGGAGACTATTCGGATTGAGAGCAGGAGCTTGTCCATTCATCTTAAAGCTCCATCCCAAAACATAATGAGACGTTCTCATGGAACCAGATGATGAAGAATATCCAATGTACATGGAATCGAAAAAAATGGAGGAGAGATTAGTAGTCAGAGACAAGAGAGGAAGACTTGGTTTGGTTACAGTTAATGGAGATATTGTCACATTGAGCTTAGTTTCTTGGCTGTTATATTCGACCCAAACATGCATAGGCTCTCCACTGATAAGACTAAGTTTTTTACACCCACGAATTCCATTCTCATAATATGATGCTGGAGAAGCAGCCATAGTGATGTAGGCTCTTGCAAAATGAGCAAAACAAAGCAGTATATTGATAAAACAGTAACCCAGTTACTGAAGACAACAAGTTCAAAATGTATTTTTCTATCAACTAAACTTTCCTCCAGCCAAAGGAAGAAGATAACTAACCTCTCCTAAAAAGCAAATGACTAAAAAGCCAAAAAGTACTAGCAGCTACTGATAACTAGGCAGAGCCGTAAATGGCAAACAAGAATAAAAAGAGTTAGTGGGGAACGTTCCAGCCAACAGAAAATGAACTGTGTGATGTGCTACTCCGCCTCCCTTCCTTGCTTATCGAGCACCGCATCATTCGCCCCTGGTACAGAAATGTTGTTGCCAGTAAGTGCAACAACATTACTTGTAGGATCTGGCGGAGTGTAAGTAAAGATATCAGCTACATTGAACGTATGTGACGTGTTGAATTCAGCGGGCAGATCAATAACGAAAGCATTGACGTTGATCTTATGACGAACTGCGAATGGCCCAAACTTCCGTCTGCTGAGTTTGGAGAAGGTTCCAATGGGAAGACGTTCCCGGCAAAGGCGTACGAGGACTAAGTCTCCCGGCTGATACGTCTTCTCCCGTCTGTGCTGATCCGCTTGCTCCTTGTACTTGTCATTAGATTGCTGTAGTTGAAGCCGGACTTTGGACAGCATATCAGTGAATTGCTCCGCCATGTTGAATGCTGCCTTGTTTGCACACTTTGGTAGTACTGCAATATCGACAATGGTGTTTGGCAATTTAGTATAAACAATGCTGAAAGGACACCTACCCGTCGATCGGTTTGGCATGGAATTGAATGCAAATTCGGCTTGCCCCAACACCTCGTCCCACAGCTTTGGATTGTCCTGTACCAAGCATCGAAGCAGATTGCCCAACGTTCGATTGACCACCTCCGTTTGTCCGTCTGTCTGAGGATGATACGACGAACTGAGCTGAATTTGTGTGTTCAATCGCTTCCATAACTCCCGCCAAAAATGGCTTATGAACTTAACATCCCGATCGGATGTTAAAGACCTTGGAATCCCATGTAGCCTGACTATCT